TTTAAAGGTTCAGTAATTAATGGAGGGGCCACCTATTTAGCAAATGTGCTCAAATCAACAGGGACAACCCAGATGGTGTCAAATAAGTGACACCATCTTATGCATTTTATGCATTGTAAGAACAATCAAACGTTCCCACCCTCCTGGCAGACTGTGGAAAGCTACTGTGATTTTAAGTGGCATGGAGTCAGTATTGTTGATAGCTGACATATAACTTGAAGGGCTTTGGGACAAGAGAGAGGGGTTAACCCTTCCTGTGTCACCAGCATTTAAATGCGGGCTGATGATCGTTGAGGAGGAACCCTGAAATTAGTCACTCTAGTGACTAATGTCATCTTCACTATTCCCAGTGTAGATTCTTTTCTTTAGCTAGTCAGGCGTCACTGTTCCTGAGCAGACACACTCGTTCGTCTGACTCTCCCCTCCGCTGGCCCCCCGCACGTGCACGCACGAGGTAGCCCTTTGAGCTGCCTCTCCCAGGAGGCTCACAAAGCCTTTCCCAAACACGCTGGCTCCGCGGAATTGCTCTGTCCCAGCGCAGGAGCCCTGAGCCTGCTGGGCACGGTTCCGACACTGCGCGCACCGTCGGGAGGCCCGCTGGTGCGGCTACACCGTGTTCAACAAATCCACTTCCTGCGGTGAACAATGATACCCCGTGCGAGTTTACGTTAGTTTTAACGCCTACCGAAATGTTTACTAAAAACATACGGGTGGATATGCATACTTTTTCAAGAGTGTGTAGGTTTTACATAGATTGTTAACAAATACCAGATTTAAAACAGAAGAGTCAGAACCCAGCACAAACGGAAGTTCCGAGGTGTACACAAGACATCCTATTGACTACGTATGTTTGTAAGATACAACTTCGCAGCCATTACTTATTCACAAATTCTGGGCTATACTAACTCTTTATTCATCGTGCAAGAAATGGGTTATTGGTGTGCTGTATTTGAGAAAAATTACGTTTGTGTAAAATTCATTTTAAATACCAACAATTCCAGAATAAAGGGAGAAAACTGGACAATGTAACTGTGAGTTTTTTGAACAAGAAAGATGTGTGAATGTTTCTCAAATTTGAAAAGGAGATAGAAATAAGAGGTAAAGAAAAGCCAAAATCCATCTGTCGATTTGAAATCTAGAGCAGATTCTTGCCATAAATAATTAATAGTTGTTACTTTTTCCTTTGGGATACCAAGCGAATGACCTCCTTGAAGACGACCATTTATTAATTTTGAGAAAAGATTCTTGGAACTGATGCACTATTGAAAGGCCCCAACTGCATACTCTAGGGTCTGGCGTTAACAAAAGGCAGTTAGACTTTCTGCTACTGGCCTTTACCATTCAATCTGTACTTAGTGGTGTAACTAAGGTGAAAGTTTTCCTGAAGTAAAACGATGGTGCTGAGGATGAATATCTTACTTTCTTCTAGAAAGAAAGCTATTCATAGGCTATTTTTTTCATTTTTTCATTAATGGTAGGGATTAGTTATAATTATGAATGGAATATGTATGCATGCACAATTTTTACTCCACAAATGCAACATGTAAGAATTTGTAGGATGGAGTATATGTTTGTATAAAAAGCCACCTTTTTTTCAGAAGGGGCTGGGGCTGCGGTCGGGGGGCAGCACACGAAGGTTTCTGGGGTGGGTGGAAAATGCTATTAGAACCGTTAAGGCTTGCAAAGAAAATGTGTGTGTGTGTGTGTGTGTGTGTGTGTGTGTGTGTGTGTGTGTGTCTTCTCCCACACTAGGCCTGAGCAGCCAAAGTGAATGCTTAGCACACACTCAAGGAAGCACAGTCCTGCCTGCACCCCAGCCAGATGCCACCAGCACAGTGACGGAGGCACCAGGAGGGAGAAGACAGGTCACTCCTGTCCCCGCAGTGTGAGTCCATCCCAGCGGGGAGTCCGTCTGCACAGGTGACTCCTGCTGAGCCAGGAAGGCTTTCAGACACGGGAATGATGTGATCTGATTTACGTTTTTAAAGATGACCCTGATTTGTATTTTTATTTATATATTTTAATTGTATTTGTTTTACCGCATTTATCTTTGCTTTCAATAATTTCTTTTAAAATTTTAAGTTAGAGTGATCCCCCTAATCAGTTTACTATGGGGTCTCTTTTACTTTATTATTTTTTTAATGCAGATTGATTTTAATTTTTTAAATGTCAAAATTATAAAATATTAAAAGATGTTAATCCATTATAAACTCTCAGCAATTTAAACATGACACCAGCACTGCAATAATCAAGTACATCAATGAAATAAAATGAGCCTTCTAGAAACAAACATATATCTAACAATGTAATATATGATTAAATTGATATTTCAAATTACTGGGGAAAATAAGGCTTATTCAACAAATAAGGTGCATGGACCACTATTACTTGAAATAAAACATATATAGAGCCCTATTTCACACATTATACAAAAAATATTCAGCTGAGTTAAAAATCAATATGTAGAATCTAAGGAGTTTTAGGAAAAAATGCAAAATAATATCTTTCTTACCCTGAAGAAACATATTCAAACCCAGAAGCTATAAAGTACAATATTGACAATATGACTATATTAAACATTGAAGACTATACAGTAATATTAAAGTAATAGAATAGGAAAGTATTTGCAACACATTTAAAAAAGGGTTATTGGGTTTTTTTAGGGCAAAAAATTCTACAAACATTTAGTAAAAAAAAAAAAATGGATAAAGAATACCAAAAAGTCATTTAAAGCTTTTAAAAATAATAGAAATAGGCAAGAAATATATAAAAACAGGTTTAGTTTCAACAAACAATAAAGGAACAAAATAATACATCATTGTTGTAATCAGATTAGTAAGTATTAAAAATATTGGTAATCTCAAGAATTGGTGACTGTGGAAGGAACTGGGTATTCATAGACTCTTTTTCTTCATCTTCTTAAAGCAGTCCCTTTAGCATATTTTGCAGTGCTGGTTTGGTGGAGGTGTATTCTTTTAGCCCTCTTTTGTCTGAGAAACTCCTCATTTCACCTTCCATTTTAATTGAGAGCCTTGCTGGGTAGAGCAGTCTTGGTTGCAGGTCTTTGCTTTTCATTACTTGGAATATTTCTTGACATTCCCTTCTGACTTGTACTGTTTCTGTTGAGAAGTCAGCTGCTAGCCGTACTGGGGCTCCCTTATATGTGACTACCTCTTTCTCCCTTGCTGCCTTTAGGATTCTCTGTTTGTCTTTGCTATTTGCCATTTTCATGATGATCTGTCTTGGAGTGGGCCTCATTGGGTTCCTCTTGAATGGGACCCTCTGTGCTTCCTGGACTTGTGTGACTTTTTCTCTCCTCCAAATGAGGGAAGTTTTCCATCATTACTTTTTCAAACAGGTTCTCTATCCCTTCCTCTTCCTCTTCTCCTTCTGGTAGCCCTATTATACGGATATTATTACATTTCAGGTTGTCCTGCATTTCCCTAAATGTCTCTTCATTCTTTTGGAGTCATTTTTCATTTTCCTGCTCTTTCTGGGAGCTTTTTTCTACCTTGTCCTCCAGCTTGCTGATTCAGTCCTCAGCTTCATCTAGCCTGCTTTTGATTCCTTCTACTGTGTTCTTCAATTCAGAAGTTGTATTCTTCATTCCCTCTTGTTTCTTGTTGATAATTTCTATGTCCTTTTTCATGCTGATATAGTTTTCAGTAAGTTCCTCGTAGTTTTTTCTCTGTAGGTTTTTCTAATTCTCTCTGAGCTCACTGAGCTCACTGAGCTTCCTTAGAACCACTGTTTGGAACTCAATATCTGATAGTTTCCTTGCCTCTGTTTCATTTAGTTCCCTTTCTGGGGATTCCTCCTTTCCCTTCATCTGGGGGGTGTTTCTTTGGCTTCCCATTATTTCTGAGACTCTTCTTTTTTGCTTCTGCTTCTTAAATTGATCTGTCTTGATTTCCTGACTCTGTGGTGTGAACTTCTAGGATAGGAGACTGCTATTTTTTCTTTCTGGATCTGCCTCTGACAATGTCAGATGTTGACCCTGTCTGACTTTAGGCAGACTGTTCGAGACTTCTAGGAATCTACTGTCTGTAACTGTCTACTTTGGTTGTTAATCTAGTCACTCTGCACTCAGCAGTTAGGCTTAGACACCACAGGACAGGACAGAGTCCCTCCTGGGGGGTGGAGCTGTTGTGTCCTTTCACGCTGTTACCACTCAGGGGAGTGGTCTGCCTGAGCAAGATGGCTGCTGCCGTACTGGGGATGAGTCAGCACCGGGATCCTTCTGGCTACTCTCTTAGTTCTCTCTCCAAAGCCTCCTTCCCCAATCTCTCCTCAGGCATCTCTTGCCCACCCTGCCCCTGCCTTTGCTGGAGACCAAGGTTAGTGGCAGTTAGGCTGTGCTAAAGCTGATTCTTCTGTCTTTCCGAGGTTATAAGGCTCCTCTCTCACTATTGTTCAGTTGTTTGCCCCAGGTGATTTCTCCACAATTTAGTTGTAATTCCAGATTGGTTCTGGGAGGAGCTTAGTGACTTCCATTCACTCCTTTGCCATCTTTAATTTTTTCTGTGGGTTCTCCTTTAAAAGGGTATTAATCCCATCTATGAGGGCTTCGCCCTCATGATCTCATCACTCTCAAAGGTCCCCACCTTTTATCTATTTTTAATTGAATATATTTGGGTGGTGTTGGTTAAACAAATGATATAGGCTTCAGGTACACAATGCTGTGATGCATCATCTGTATAATGTGTGTTCACCACCCGAAGTCTCCTTCCATCACCATTTATTCTCCCTGTACCCTCTCTACTTCCCCCCACCTCCTTCCCCTCTGGAGATCACTCTGTGATTTGACATTTGAAATGATGTTTGAGATGTGTCTTGAGAGTAGGTAGGATTTAGACCAGCGATTTTCAACTGGTATGTCACAGCACACTGGTATGTTGCTAGAATTTTTAAAGTGTGCGGTATCTGATTATTTGGTCTGTCTTGAAGGCTTTTTATCACTTTTTTTCTGTTTCTCTCACTTCTCCTTTTTTGCTCACTTTTCTTAAATATTTCTAATGAATTGACCATTGCATTTCCTGAGTTCTGAAATGGCCGACAGACCATAGAAAGACATTTCTTTAGTCTCCTGCTTGAAACCATGTTGTCATTTTTTTCTTAAATTTGACAATCTAAGGGAAAAATGTCAGTGTCCCTGACTAAATAGTCAGGTAATTCATGTTTTAAAAACCTGCATGGCACACTGGAAGAAAATCACTCAGATGAAGAGGGTGAGGTATACGCTTCTGGCACTGAAAGTGGACACACAGCCAGGGGGCCGGAGAGATGAAGCTAGCAGACTGAGGCAGCCACCCCTTTGAGGCCTGTGAGTGATGGGACAGAGCAGGGGAGGAGAAAGCCCTCTATTAAGAAGGGAGAGCGAGGGACAGGGGACCCTCCATGGAGGAAGCAGAGCACGGGAATGGAAGACCTGGAGGGGCAGGGAAGAGGAAATGGCAGACCCTCCATGGATGGGGCAGTATCTCCTGTTACCTGTTCCTCAACCCCTGGCTTTCCTGCACTTCCCATCCATAAAAGGTCCCCTGTCATCCCTATCCTACCCCAATCACTTGAGAGTCCCCTAGGTACACTGCCATGCCCCCTCCATGGAGGGATCCCTATCTACCCAGCCCTGACCCCTCCATGGAGGGTCCCCTATCACCCTGCCCTTCCCCCTTTATGGATACTCCTCTACTCCCCTCTTCCCTGCCCCCTTCATGGAGGGTCCCCATTCCTCCTGTCCTGTCCCTTCCATGGAGGGTCTTCTCTTTCCCTGCCCTGTCCATCACTCACAGGTCTCTTCCTGGCATGAGCGCCAGTCTCTGGTTTTCATGTCTCCTGCCTCTGGGGTGTATGCCCAGGTATCCGTCCCTGAAGCACTTGTCTTACCGTCCTCATCTGTCTAAATCCTACCTGTGCTCTCAGGACACATCTCAAATATGACTTCAAATGTCAAATCACAGCGTGATCTTTAAAAAATATAAATCAGATGATATCATTCTCATGTCTAAAAGCTTTCACGGTTGTGATAGCATTTTCAGCCCATCCGAGGGCCCCTAATCCACCCACCCGGCCCTGCCCCCCAGCCAGCCTGGCTATCCCTTTAGGGGAGGGTTCCCCAGTTGTCCATGTGTCCAGCCCTGTCTCCACAGCCAAGTCTGAGTTTGAGTGTGCTAAGATCTTGGGGAGCCCTTCCCTGACCCTGCAGGGGAGTGACTGCCAAGGTCCCAACCCAGCCCTGGGGGGTATCTCCCTGCACAGGTCACAGAGCTAGGACAGGTCACAATGGTGAGACAGGTCATAGAGGTAAATGGTCCCAGGTCAGCCATGGGGGCCAAGGTAACCAATTGAGGCTGGCTGAAGGTACCATGGGCCTAGGTTTTGGGCGGCCCCTGGAAGCTGAGTGAATAGCATAGTTATGTTCTATGACTCCTGTCTATTCCTTGGTGCTGGGTTGCTCAGTAGACAGCTAGTCCAGCAGTTGCCCAGCTGACTTATAGGAAACACTGTACTGCTATACCACAAACATATACTTGTAAAAGAGAGGCCACCAGTGCAGGGTACACCACACCACTAGATGACCCACCTGCGCTTGCCTTCTCTCCCCACCCCTGGGTCCCACGCCTGCTAATTGCACTCAGTCGGCTGGTGGCTATTGGGGCACCAGAGGCCCTGCCCCAAACCAGTGTGAGGCCAGCCAATGGGCGTGAGCTGGAGCACCCAGTGAGGGCACACGTGGGAAGCGGACTCCAAGAGAGCACAGTGAGCCCTGTCCTTGGGGATGTTGCTCCAGACTCACTGTCATCACCCTCACAGCCTGCTCCCTGGATTGAGCCTGCTGTCCCAACTCGGAAGTCCAGTTTCACGTCCAGGCAGTGGCCAGTGATTGAGCGAGCATGATGACACAGGAGATATGCGAGTGGGGCGCAGGTGGCAAGTGGGCAGAGCCAATGGGGTGGGCGCACTGTGAGGACTGCCAAGAATGGGCGCAGTGCAAGTCGAGGTCATGAGTCCTGTCCTGCTTTCTTCTCTGTGCTCCCTAATCTTTTTTTTCACCCAAGGCCCCTGGAGGGGATACTTGCCTTGAGGACAGGACCCTCTCCCACCGCGGCGCCCTTGTCAGGGGGACCACCTCTTGGGCACGCCCTCTTCTCAGCTCCCTGATGTCCTGAGTACACAGGAGATTCAGGGCGCCCCACCTTGAGAGCTGTGGCTCTAACTGCGGCTCCCCGGCCACCCATACCCCCACCAATGTTGACATTGGTACATTGGTTCCTCTGCTTGGTGGAGCCCACGGAGCTCTTCATGATGCGCTCTGTGGCAGGACAATAGAGGTCTTACAGGTGAAACTTTATTAGGAAGTAACACCAATATTGACCACATTTATTTTTCTCCATCCCTGCGCTGTGTTCAGACGGCATACAACATCTTGAAAAATAAGACTTGATGAAGGTCAGCCAGTCCATCCCGGTGTCTCCAGGCAGCACTGCACTTAAATTACCGTAGACTCCTGGGGCATTAGCCAAGGGAAAGCTCACATTTGGGGTTTTGGGCAGTGATTCTTTCAGAAGATGTCTCTACAAAAGTCCCCAAGCCCCACTCTAGCAGCATAAGCATGACGAAAGGAAGTATACCTTTCCTTTCTTGAATAATTTTTCCTTGGATGAATTGTAAGCATGCAAAATATTGTTGTCTGGCAATAATTCAGAACCTACAGAGCATGTCTCATGAAACAGTGAAGTCACGTCATCCCACTCTGCTCTGTTTGCCTCTTGTTTACAGTAGGCTCTGAAGTGTCTGGAACTCTTAATTATCCTTGTTTCTTTAGCGGAATAACTTTAAAAACACCATTGTTACAAAGATACTCAACTTCCATCCTAAAATCCATGGAATCTTGAGTTCTAGGGATCGCCATTCTCATTTCACTGGAAAGAAACCTAGAAGAAACAACGTTGGGCTGTTACTCATACCAAACAAATGAGCCAGAAATAGCTGAGCCAACAAAGAATCTACACTGTAGTTGAGACTGCTATTCATTAATCTTAAGTAAACCAGAATGCATTTATGTGTTAAAATGCATTATAGAAAAACTTGGCTTAAGGCGCTGTAAAGAGAGTTAAACAGGGACAGTTCCGATGCCGAGGGTCATTGCACAGCGATAAAGAGTGGAATATTGTGTACTGACACTTGTAAATATTCAACCCTGCATATTCTGATAGAGAAAATGAGTAGTTTACCTGATATTCACGTACGATGTAAGCTATTGTAGACTAGTGGATACTGAGAGAATCTCTCAAGTTTCTTCATGAGGCAGCCTTGGAGCTTACTTTAGAAAAAGGAATTGCAGCAGTCATAGAACTCCACAAATTATGGGGGTAATGACTTGTGGTTTTTTCCTTAACCCACATACATCCTCTCCTGGTGCTGTGGCCAGAGTGTTAAGGTCATAAATTTGAAACACACAAAAATTTAAAACTCTGGTCCAAAACCACATTCTTCCACTTCCTTTTCACTCTATAGCATATAGTTGAAAAGAGTATAGATGATTTACCAGAATGTTTATGACAGTTTGGCTCTAATTAACTTTTCCACTGAGAACATAGTGGCATTTCCTTCATCTTCATTTTGTCTTACCTCTAAGGTTTACAACAAGAAAATCACTTGAAGATCCGTGTAGAGCCTGGCTTGTTTGAGTGGACAAAGTGGGTTGCTGGGAACACATTACCTGCGTGGATACCTCCATCAGAGTTAGCTGCAGCCAACCTGAGTGTTGATACAACCTACAGGTAACCCTCTGGCTCTGCTGCGTGCGGGGGCCCACGTGGAAGTACTTTACTGCACCAGGGCCAGCTCCTGAAGGAGGAGCAGCACCAGGCATCGCCCACAGGCGGTTCTCCATGTGACTGGAAGTCAAGCTATGGTTTCTAAAACTCAAACTGGAGAAAGCCAGCATTCCCTTGTATTTAGCTTAGTGTAGATGATATCCTCCCCCACACTGGCCTTTCCTGACCATGTTCTATCTCTTCCAGTGAATAACAAAACCACCTGGCGTTCCGGGAGCAGCTGGTGATGCAGTTGGGAGATGAAGGAAATGACAGTGTTTTACATACACACACATCCCCCAGCCAGAGGGAGCTTAGGGTGTTGACTGGGTGCGCTGGGGAGTTGGGGGGGGCGGGGGGCATGGCCGGGACATGGATCTGGTGTGTTAGAGGGGCAATGAATCAAAGTTCACTGTGGGGCTCAAGGCAGATGCCTAGACCCAAGCAGGTGAGGAGGAGAGTTTACTGGAAAGAATAATATTCCATGGGTGGTTCTTGAGCACCCAAAGCTCAGGGTTCCAGGTCTGGCTAGAAGTTGGAGGCCCGGCTGACTCCGAGTACAGTACATGTGTCCTGCAGGTGTGGCTAGAGCGTGACACATGCTGCTGACAGGGGCAAGAAAACTTTGACTCTGTCCCACCCCCATCAGGACTGGTGGCTCAAATATGAAGACATTCATAGGTTCAGCTTGAAGTCAAGAACTGCCCAAGGCAAGAGCCGGCCAGGGTGAGCTGGATACCAACAGCTCATACGTTACAACAGGGTTTCACCCTTGAAATGACTCTCTGGACCATACAAAAAGGACTTTTTTCATGGGGGAGGGGGCAGAGCTGTGAGATCAATGACATCAGTGGTAATAGAACTGGATGAGAGGTTTGGGTGGGGAAAAAGAGTTTGCTGCAGAGAAACGAGGCACATCCTTAGTAAGTGGCGATCCATGTCTCTCCCTAGCCCCCAGGCGTTAGGAGATTCAGAAGGCTGTTTCCTAGGAGAAGCATGTTTACTGAGAAAACGTTATATAGGTGAGGGCAGGTTTCCTTCAAACGGGACAGCATTCTTTCTCTAAGGAGAGTAAACCCAAGTGCACAGAGAGGCAGCCATGAGGCGGGTGCTGTAAAAAGTGGTCCGAAGAGGAGAACATGTTTACAGGCATCAATCTCAGACCCAGGTTCAAATCCAGGCTCTAAGAGCTGCTAATGGTGTAAGTACAGGTGTGTTGCAACCTTTCAACAGGTTCATGGGATTTGTGCAGATGGAAGAAAAGCCATGGAGTCATGGGGATGCTTGACATGCTTTTATTCAAGGGTGG